CAAACTTAGTATGGAGCCTAAAAGGTATGAGTTGTCCGCCTGTTTTTAGCAAACAGGGGCTCTCAACCACTACTCTTGCTAGGTTAACAACCTATGAGTTAAAAGCCAACAAACATTGGCGAATAAAGGGGAACAACCGGTACCCACCGCTTGATACCTCTACTACTCAGTTACTTGGCGACTAGGTAACAATCATGTTTACTTGGTCACTCCTTAAAAATTTAGTATGAAACTAAAAAGGTGTTCATACAGCACCGGCTCACACTACATTAAATATGGCGGGGAACAGTCGGCCTAGACGGCCTAAAGTCTCTAGCCTAAAAACATGACAAGTAGGAAACCACTTTCCTACTTGGTTAATTTTATATGACAGAACCGCCTGCCTAAAGGGGATCCAGTCTTTAAAATGGTTCGAATACCGATTGGATAAATGGCCGACTGATCGTCTAGCCTGGAAACAGACGACCAGTCGTCCAGGGGCATAGGCGGCGTGACTAACTATCTGTACCTGTCTGCAACTATCGGCCATGTAAAACAGTCGGTATAGTGTACAATTGGATATCAGAATATTCAATACTTGAACAAGTTTGAAGCAAAACAAAAATATTCATTAAAAGGAAGCCGGTCATTAAAGACCGGCAAAATATTCAGAGCCCCGGCCCCCTGGCCGGGTAAATACAAACAAACGGCACGCAGGCCGTGGGAAGAAGACATAAAGCTTAAGAAGGGGGCAGATCTTCAATATCAGCAGCTGCCGCCTGGTCAGCACTCTTCTTGCTGGACTCGGCTTCAGCTGCATCCTTCTTTGATGCATTACCCCCAAGCGGCACAAGCGCCACTACCGGCTGCTCCTCCTCCTCCAACGCCTCTTCCTCAGCAGCCGCCAGGATCTCTTGATTATATCTATCAGAACACTGGCGGTACGTTTTTTTCCCATGAGGCAAAGTCGGCATTGGGGAAGAGGCGGCCCCAAGTCATGCGCTGGATTTGAGCAGAGTCTTCCATCATCTCCCGGACCAACTCTTTCTTTTCTTGCTCGGCCTTTTCCGAGAGCTCCTGAGTAAGACTCTTCTCCTGGGTCACCAGGCGTTCCTTTACGCTCGCCAAGGATTTCTCCAAGGTTTCGTATGAGGACATCTTTTGGCGAAGAGGTCTCAGCTCGGCCTTGAGGTTGTTGATGGTCGCCTCCAGCTCGCTATTCCTCTTCTGGGCCGCCTCTAACTGAGCCCGGATAGCGGCGTTAGCCTGCGCCTGATAATAAAGAATATCAATGGTCAGAACTTCATTTTGGGCAATTTGAAACATTGCCTTATCACAGTCAGAGGCGGCCATAGGTTTTGCAGCCTTTACCTCTTTGTTCTTCCGGTCAAGCGGCTTGCGAAGGCCGTTCACTCGGAGCAGGGCCTAAGTAAAAAGGGGAACAGGCGTCAGTTTCCAAACAAAAAGAAAACAGGCGTCCTGGAATTCAAATACTCAAAAATATGCTAAGTATACCTCAGCAAGGACCCCTGCAATCCCGTCTAGGTCAAGGGTGCCGACACCCCTGACTGCCTCCCTTTCAGCTGGAGGAACGGCCTTGATCATAGACTTGGCCACCTCGACCAAGTCAGGCTCCTGAGGGCCGGCTGCATCAAGCATAAACAAACGGATTAGACCTAGTAAAGAAGGGAGCAAGTCTAAAATTTACAAGGACAATTTCATACTTCTAGGTGGCCCAGCTGGAGTTTTAGAAGAAGTGGCTGGCTGTTTCTCAGCCGCCGCATGTTTCCTGGCAGAACCAGGAGAGCTCGCAACATTCGTCCTCCGGGCCTTGGGGTCCGGCTGTTGGGAAGAAGAAGCTCTTGGAGCGCCCGTCTAAAAAAGAAGAAAAGAGTCAGTATATGCATAAACACAACTCCAAAAAGAGGGTGAAAGGTTCGAAGCCCACCAAGGGTGCCCCCTTGTTGGGGGAGTCGGTTGAAGACTGTTGCATGATGGAGGCCCGCAACATGGCCGCCGCAGTCTTGGAGGCGGTAATTTTGCTCATGGCGTCCGCTGCAAAAACAAATAGCAAAGTTAATAAAAGTCATAACAAGAAATGCACGGAACAGCAGAGTATTCGACAGGCCGGCTACCTCTTGAGCACCGACTGCTGAGGCCACAGGCGGCCAAAAAGTACTCGTCGTAGAGCCATTTGAAGCTCGGGACGCAGTGCAGGGGTACTTGCTCTCGTACCCCTGAAGTAGAGTTCACCTTCGACTCTACTTTGAAGAGTCCTTTATCTAGGATCTCTTTCTTAGCCTTGGGGGGAACAGGCGGCATGCTGCGGCCACCTGCAAGAAGGGGCGGATTCCTGTTCCACCTGTTGAAGCGCTTGTTCAGCTCTGTGTCTGAACTCTCAATGATGAGGAAGGTGCTCCGCCAGTCCTTCCATTTGTTTGCTTTACCTCTCGTCATGAGGTAGCCCCTGTGGCTCGTCAATTGATACCAGCCGGTACCGCCTGCCTTAGGGGTCCGGCTGAGGTAGTTCATGTGGGCGAAAGCCTCGAAGCTCGGCTCCACCCCGTGCAGTTCGCACCCGGCCACATAGCCGAGTACGTTGACCCAGGAGTTCGGGGCTAACTGCCATAACCCCAACTCATACCCATCCAAGATCCGCTGAACAGCTGGATGTAGTGGGAAGCGCAGCCCAGCCTTGATGGCCGCCTCGTAGCAGCCAAAGCAGGCGCCATCATAACTGGTACCAGCCGGCCATACGACTGTGTCTTCTGGATCCGGCACGAACACTAAAAAGCCGGGGCCCATTGTGTGGTTTGCGATAAAGCTCTCCACTTTCTCTTGCATGGCCGTGATCCGGCCCCAAGGTACCGTGCAGTTGTAGGGGGTATTTTGCTCTCGGTGAGGGGCGGATGGCTCCGCCCAATCGTCCCCCTTCTCAACTGCGTGAGAAAGCCTCGCCTCTTGTAGGCGACTGTTTTTCTCTTCTGTGTCCAGGGAAGCATGGCCAGAAGAGCTAGACTCGGAATCGTCCTCTGACGAGTCCGAAGAGGACGACTCTTCCCCTCTCCCGGAGGGGCCCGCCTCCTCTCCTTTAAAAGGAGCAGGAGAGAATGTAGAATTCTCAACTGTAAAATGGGAAGGGGTCACTTTGACTCCTCCCTCAGAACTGCCGGCTTTCAAGCCGCTTTGTTTCACTTCCACATCTGGCGCCTGGTCAGATGTTTCACTAATCGGCACCCTGTGGGAGGAGCCGTCTGAGTTTGAGATCCTGGCAGTCTTTTTTGTTCTGGCCATCATGCTCTGCATAGACACAGATACAGTCGGACTTTGTATAAAGGGCAAAGATGGGTCCAGAAAAGGGCAGGCGGCACTCCTAGTCCTAGATTCAGCCGTCCCCGGTGACCGACTGATCACTAACCTAGGTCGTGTCGTGTGCTTCCGTGGTGCCATTTCAAAAAAGAATAAAGTAAAGAGAAAATTAAGAGTAAGAGAACCGACGGTTACCTGAACGAGTGACGATTGATGAAGTTCTGAAAATCCTTTGCAGTCGGCTTGTCAGAGCAGGCGGTAGGCAGAAAGGGTCCAAAATGTCAGAGCAAGTTCAGGGGTCCGAATGTTCTCTCACAAAGTTTTCAAGTGTGAAAATGACCGAAGTCAACACTCCTTTATATAGGCGAAGTGAGAAGGCAAAGGGTCACTTCCAGAATTCAAAATTTTGGCGGGAGAATCTCTCGGCCTCTTGCCGAGTGACACCTGTAGCAGGCCGTCGCCTGTTACAGGGCGATACCTGTCACAGGTAACACGTGACCAGTCACGTGCCACCTGTGAGGGGCAAATGATTAGGGGATTTTTCCCCACCAATCACCATCTGACAAGTGGACCAATCAGGTTCCGCCATGTCTCCGTCACATGGGCCAATAGGAGCCTGCCACGTGTCAAGCAATGATCCGTCCACTATGGACCAATTACGACACGACACGCGTCCTTCCCATGACACCTGGGATAACCGGTCACCTAGGCCCAACTTCCGAGGGAAGCCCAATCAGCCCAAGGTTAACCTAAACCTAGATTGACACGTTTCCCGAGGTTATAAATACCTCCCTTAATCCTCATTAAGGGAGATTACGCAAAAAACGCAGATTACACACATTAAACACTCTCACCTAGAGAGACCCAATCACTTTAATTTCCGCATTAATTACTCCTTAATCAAGTACTAACTTGACCGTCGGAGGCGGATCTCCAATCATCCGGAGCATCCGTTTGTTTTGCAGGTACAGGCGTCCGGTTCCAGTCTCGGAATTGTAACTCTCCCGCAGGACATCAGAAAACCCCGAAACAAGTTCTACCTCCCAAGCACCAAATCTTCCCTCCCAATTTAAGGGGAGAGGTACATCTTCTAACCCCACTCCTCCTTCTTCCTCTAATAATATGCCTAGTGGATGCTTGTTTTGTGATATGTGTGGTTCTTATGAGCATGATTCATCTATGTGCCCTCATTCATTTGTGGATACATGTGATGATTTTGATAGTAATGAGAATGAGCATGTGAACTATGTGTCTAACAATAATGGATCAAGGTTTGATAATCAAAGAGGCCAAGAGAATAGGAATTATCACAACCAAGGGAATTTTGAAAACTATAACCAAGGTGGTGGTTATAGAAACAAAGGAAACCAAGGTTTCCGAGGTAACTATAATAACCAAGGTTATAGTGGCCAAAATCAAAACCAAAGCTTTGGTAATCATAACCAAAATTTTGGAAATCAAAACCAAGGTTATGGTAACCAAAACCAAGGTTATGGTAACCAAAAACAAGGTTACGGAAATCAAAATCAAGCTAGAGGTAATTGGAACAACCAAAATAGGGGCAATTTTCAAAACAATTCACAAAGAGGCCCTCCTCTGATTTTGTTCCAAAGACCCAAGCTCAAGGTGATTATTCCTACGCACCACCCTCTTCTTCTATGTCTAATTTGGAAGAGATCATTGAAAATCAAACCAAGTTGTTGAACACTTACATGGCGGTTAGCGACAAAAAGTTCAATGAGATGATGACCCATAGCAAGATGCTTGAGACCCAAATCACTCAACAAGCCAACGCTTTGAAAGAAAGTGCAAGCCCTTCTCCTCTACCCTCCCAAGGTCTTGACCCTAAGAAATCGGCTTACTCTATCACCACTAGAAGTGGCAAGATACTAGAGGAGAGAATGTCTAAGAGTAGTCAAGAGAAGGAGAAGGTGAGTGATTCATTTGATGATGATGAGCATGATGTGTCTAGCAAGAAGAGTGAGAGTTCTAACGAGAAAGCCAAGGAGAAAGATAGAATGCAAGATGAGGTTATCAAACCCAAACTTTCGTACCCCCAAATATTTTTGAGGCATAGCATGGATGAGCAATTTGGGAGGTTCATCGAGATGCTTAAGCAACTTCATCTCTCTATTCCTTTCACCTATGCTTTGCAACAAATGCCAAATAATTCCAAGTTCCTTAAGGACATTTTGAGTGGCAAGAGGGAGTGCAATGTGGTTGATTTGGTGAATGTTGGGGAGTGCTATAGTGCTCTTATCCATAATGACCTACCCCCAAAGATGAAAGATCCGGGGAATTTCTCCATCCCTTGCAATATCAATGGCAAATTGTTCCAAAATGCTCTTTGTGATTTAGGTGCTTGTGTTAGTATCATGCCATACTCCGTTTTCAAGAAGCTTAAGCTAGGAGAGCTACTTCTTACCAACATGACCCTACAATTGGCTGATCGTTCCATTAATATTCCCAAGGGTAGGATTGAGGATATCCCCTTCAAGATAGGAGAGTTTACCATTCCCGTTGATTTCATTGTGCTTAAAATTGCGGAAGATGACAATATTCCCATCATCTTAGGGAGACCATTCTTAGCCACGTCGGGTGCCTTGATTGATGTGAAAGGCTACATCATTACTTTGTGTGTTGGTAATAGTAAGGCTAGTTTCAAGCTTAAGTCAATGCATGAGTCTCTATCTTACGTGTAAGGAATCATGTGCATAAATTCACTTCCTTTGAGTGACAATGCTTGCATGTTTGTGTCTTCTACTAACGACATTCTTGAAGCTTGTGATGATGTTCCTATAAGTGTTGAAAGCAAGTTGGTTAGTAATAATGTCAAAGAGCCTTCAAAGCTTCAAGATGAGGACGAGCTTGAAATACCCTTATGGTTTGAGCTTTCGTTGAAGGATGATGAGCATGGTTCTTCAAGTTTTGATGATGTGAAGGCCCTCACCCCAAGGAAGAAGAAATCAAGAAAAAAGAAAAGAAGTTCAAAGAAGAAAAGAAGAAATTGAAGATCAATATCCTTGATTCGACTCTATTATCTCACCATGATGAATCTTGTGATGAGTTTTTGCCTAAGCTTGGAAATGATTTTTTTCTCCACCACTTTGGATAATATGGTCTTCTTTGACCCTATGTGACTTGGAGGAAATGTCAAGCTATTGACGTTAAACAAGCGCTTCCCGAGAGGCAACCCGATTCTCTAACCCTTTTTCTCTTTCTTATTTTTCTTTCTTATGCATTTTTGGTTTATTTCCTTAATTTTCTTTATTTTCTTAATTTTAGGTACAATTGGATTTATTGGATTTCGATTTCCAGCAATTTTAGTGTCATTTGAAGGTTTGGAGTGCTTGCAATTTGAGTTAGAAGTTGGGAATTGATGGTTAAGCAGGGACGCTCTCATGGTTGCCCTCTCATTGATTTTTATAATGAACAAGCGAATTTTGTGAATTTTGGGCTGCCTTGCTCGTGGGCATCACGTGAGCCCAACAGTCGAGAGTGCCGTTGAGCATGACCGCATCACTCGGCCACCGCGCAACACTATCGCAGCCCACCCCTGCAAGCACGCACCAGCCAGCAGATTTAGCCCGCCGCCGCGCGCACATAGGGGGGTCTGCACGCACACACAACAGGCTGGGTGTGTGTTGCGTGCTGCTGCTAAGCCGCCCCTTTCCCCCCTTTTCCCCTCATTTTTCCTTTCTCTCTCCCCGATCTCACTCTCTCTATCCCCTCTCTTTTTCCCCCATTTTCTTTCTACTCATTTCTTCTTCTTTTCTTGCTTTAATCCACACAAATCTCCACAATTTGCATCATTATAACATAAAAGTTTCACCATTTTCGAATTTCAAGAACAAATTTTCGGATTTTTGAACCAAATGTTTGAAAATTTTCACTTGTTCTTGAAATTTGGGTATTTTGAATTTGGCATAGGAGCTTGAATTTGGCTGTTTTATTTGCTTTAGTTCCATTAGTTCATCCATTTTCAAGGGTTTTTATTTTCTATTGAGGTATGATTTCTACTCTCTTGTTCATCTTCTTCCTCATTTGAGAACTTGAAACCCTAGGTTGGGCGGCTTTAATGGTAGATTCCCATTGTTAGTTCTTTTTGCTCATATTTTGTGTTCTAAGATGCTATTTGATGTTGATTTGAAGCTTTTTCATCTTGAAATTGATTATTTTCTTGAACATTTGACACCACCATTGTTGGACACCTTTCTTTTTCATGGGTATTGTTCTTAGTAGCATTACTTCTTTGTGTTTCATCATCTTTGTCATTTTGACTATGATGTTCATAAATTTGTGCTTGTTTGTTGTTAACTTTTGCCATTGATTTTTGTATTAGATGCTTCTTAGTTCTTATTGCAACTTTCTTTGTTGCTACTACACTAGTCATGACATGAGTTCATTAAGCCAATTCTTGTTCATCTATATTTGGGTCATTCTTGTGCTTGAATTTCTTATGTTATTCATGATGATACTATGGTGCTTACTTTATTTCAAATACATTGATTGAGCTTATTTCCTATTCATGATGATTTGCTTATGCTTGCCCTAATTTCTTGTAGATGGCTCCTATACGCCGCAATAAGAGGGCTTGCACCTCTAGTAATTCACCCCCAACCCGGCAAATAGTTCCATCTCCTCCCGCGGTGGTTGAGACCTATGGTATTGAATTCACAAAGAAGGACCATTGGGATCGGGTTCTAATATCGAAAAGGAAGCTTAAGTCCACAAGATTTTATGATCAATTCAGAAACAACAACAAAGTTAGGAATCGACAAAGATGTTCGGCTCCTCGCCAAGAACTTGGGGCTACTTGAATTTTTGAGCCTCAACGCTCCAACATATGCAATATTGACGTATAAATTCCTCTCTTCTCTTGAAATTGCGAGGGTTAGGGAAGGTGATTCCACTACAAGATACTTGTCCGCCCAACTCTTCAACAAGGATCATTGTATCCCGGAGTCTCAACTTGGTGCTTACTTTCGGTTCCCTTGCCCTTCGGAGGAGGATGATATTGTGGCCCATACAAAGATGCATGACGACCATGGTTATTGGGAGCTAAGATGGTGGAGACATATCTCCATTGAAGATGAGTATGAGCCTTAATCCTCTAAGGCCGCCGCCATAATTCTCCAGCCTTGCGGTATTTCAACCGCATACTCACATATGCTCTTTTCTCCAAGGATTCTTTGGGTGCTATTTCTCGTAAGGAGTTATGTTGGCTTTGGATGGAAAACCATGAAGAAGGAGAGCTTGAGATCATAAACTTCACATCACACTTGATTGGTCGCTTTCTTGAAGTAAGAAATGGTTTTAACTTTTGGGTAGCATCCAAATTGGTGGCATGATCACTATTCTTGCTCTTTGCATCGATGACTCATACAAGACCTTGCTCAGTGAGCTTCAACCTATTGGTGATCCTCGTGAGAAAACACCTTCCCATTTCCTTAATAAGTATGCCCTTATTAACCAAAAGTTTTTGGAGTGCACCAAAAGGCCGGGCCTCTACATTTGGAAGGTCTCATGCATTCGTGATTGGTTTTTGATACCAAGTAGGGAAACCACCGATCGAATGATTGAAAACAACGCCCTTCCTTGGAGAATCCCACGATGGAATATCGATCCTAATCTTCGGCGAAAAAAGGCCAATTACCGCATCAACCTTGATGATCCACCCCGAGAAGGTTTTCAAGACTTGCCCCCAGAAGAGCGAGGAGGTACTTCTAACCCTCTTCTACCCCTTGATTCCGTTGCTAATGTGTTGTCTTTTTCTTCTTTGGGACATGATTTTATTCTTGGCTATGACTATCATGCTCGTCACGTTTATGATTTTCACGTTAAGAGAGGCGATATTGAGCCCTATTTGCACTACCCCTACCTTTCGGTCCAACAAGGGCCCATTCCTCAATGGGTACCTTATGATCCCAATCATGGACCATCTCTTTGCTATCCTTATTGGGAGGGACCTTATGTACCTCCTCATGCTATTCTTGGGACCACCTCGGCCACCTATGACTACAAGCGGCCAGGGGGATGCGGTTTTTCTTATGACCCGTCCAACCCTAAGCCTTTTCCCGACCCCGAGACCTTTGGGAGGTGGGGACTTTCGGCTGAGCCTATTTTGGATGATTGGTCACATTTCTTTACGGAGGATAAGGCTAGGAGAGAGGGTAGATTGAAGGGCAAGACACCTTTGGAGGTGGGTGATATTATGAGCTCTAGTCGTGTGTTTTCGGAGACTGGTGAGAGGAGTACCCATTCTACCCCTTACCCTAGTGTCGAGGGATTCCTTCCTAGCTATCCCCCTTTTCACTTTCTTGTTTTACTTTGGTATTGCTTCTTATGCCTACTTGATGTTAGGATTTAAGCTTTGGGGGTGGCTTATATAAGGCTTGGGGGATTACTTTCTTGATTTTGATGTGCTTCATTTCCTTTCCCCTTGATTTTGTGGTTCGCTTCGGCTATTTTTATGAGCTTTTGTTGGTTGGTGATTGCTTCTTGTCTCATGGCTTCTCTGTTCTTCTAGTTGGTTGATATTTGCTTCTTGATGATTGGTTGGTTGGTGATATTGTTTCTTGATATTGTTGATTGTCCTCTTGGTTGTTGAGATCTTACTATGTCTGTTTCTTGTTTGATTATGCTTCTATCCAATTGATTCCATTAATCCAATTTCCCTTGAATCCAAATTATATTAGTTTAGCATAGTGTTTTTCTTTTATTCCTTATCTTTATTTTTCATGAAGTTACTAACTTTATTTTTTGTAGAGTTTTCTCTTTTTCCTCTTCTTGTCTCACGTTCTAGGTCCTTTGTTGGAGCATATGACGGATGGAGATTGGTGAAAGCTATATTGTTGTCACATTTGTTCTTCTAGCTCGGGATCGCTTACTGAGACCTTTCTATTTTCTTCTCTCTCTTCTCCTTTTATTTTCTTGTGTGCATAGTTTAGGTTTTAGCTTAGGTTCGAGGATGTATGCTTTTAACACCTAGTGTGTTTGGGATCGTTGACATTGTGGTCGAACGATCATTGTTTGTTGATTGGGATTTCATTTTTTATGCTTAATTCCTTTTAGCTTTTCACTCCTTCTTTGTTTCTCCTTTTTCTTTTAAGCAACCTCATTTAAGGCAATTTTTGCAAAATGTGTTTTTCTCTCCCTTTTTAGTTGGACAATTCAACTTGGTCTTGTGTTTTTGAATGACTTCCTTCTTAGTGGTATATGTGTGCATGATTTGAGAGTGTTGGTGGTTGATTCTAGGATGTTACATGCTAAGGTAGCCGGTTTAAGAACTTTAGGGTCCATGAAGCCTTAGTTCATTAAAAGTGGTAAGATGGTATTGCTTTTCATAGTGGATTTGATACCTTTGAGTTAGTATTTGCTATACAAATCTCGTGTGAGGTATATTTGTAATTCCCCGTACTTTTATACGTATTTTGATTTAAATCATTATTTTATGATGTATTTAAATAATTTAAAATGAATTATTTATGGTATTTTATTAATTTAAAAAGGTTTATTTTTATTAAAGGTCCATTTTTAATTATTTAATCGTTTGGAAATATTTTTATTTTTATTATTTAGAAACTTTGGGGTATTTTATTTTATAAAAGGAAGTTTTAAAGTCAATGGAGTTTTAAAGAAAGTCAATGACTACCTTGAATAGGAGTAGGAATCATTAACGGTAGAAAAGGAATTTAAGTTT